GCGAGTTCCCGCGGCAACGTGTTGTATTATGTAGTTTTTCCAAATGCCGACATCGCCGGCTCGCGCGATTACTGCACGACCGTGCTGCCCACATGCATTGCAAGTGGTGCGTTCGTTGACGCTTTGAAGTTGGATTCATGTCTCCATCCCTCTGGCTGCCGGCTGGTGACATCACACGTTCAAAACTGTTAACAACGGGCAAATCCATCATGACCGCTTCTGTACGACTGCGGCGTGGCACGTGCCATCGCATGCGTGTTGCCCACGTATGGGCACGATTTCGTCAACAGTTGCTCACCGTCTTAGGCGCGATGCACACTGGCCGAGCAGCCCAAAGCCCCCTGCCAATTCGTGGACTCGCCATTCCTGGTGGATTAGCTGTCAAAAGTTTTAGAACGTGCGGGCATTATCCACATTGCAGTGCATCTAGTCAAGCATTTTGCGGCTATTTTCGTGTGTTAGAGAACTATGCATATCCTCTGGTCACTAAGCGTACGTCTGTTAACTGCACATTTTGGGGAATACTAGACTCCAACGCGGCGTACGTGTATCTGGGAGTCTCGATCGCCCAAAATGTAAATGCGCTGTGCACCTCGCGTCCCTGTGAAACTATTTTCATGAACTTTTTTCTGGTTTTGAGTTAAACGGTTTGTCATCATCAGCAAGAGTCGACGTATGTTGGAACTCAATGCAATACACGTGGACATGCACTACTATCGGGCAATCGGAATTGCCACGCCCCATTCTTCGCTGACGCTTCATGGTCCGATTCCCATGCTTCAAGCCGAATCAGACTTGATTTAACTGATTCACAGCCAACATATATGGAACCATATCCGATTCTGGTTTACGCCGAAAGCCGGGGATCAAATCAAGCTTCATTGACGGTGAATTATGACGAGAATTGATTTCAATCTAAAGCAGCCACGGGCCCGTGATACATTTTCATCGAGTCTCACACTAGCCAGCCCTGCAGCATGGCGCTCACAATCAGCCAGTTAAGATTAAAGCTTTCGTCTCATCAATTTACACGATTCTAGATATGCCGTCAACTGCCGAGGTGTGCTTCACAGATCACCCTTGTTTTCATGTTGGCAGCCTGTGTGTACCTCTTCCCACCGTACTGCCACCTCCCCCCCCCCCCACCACACGCACACATAAACGGTCGTGTATTGGCTGACCAGAGATACGCTCCGGACCCACGGCAGTCTGCTCGCCGGTGACGCCCCGTTCCCGTGCAGCTGACCCGCCACGGGCTGATCAGTGATCGGGCCCACGGGGCAGTCGCCTCGGGCCCGCTGCGAACCTTCCATTGGTGGCTATTGACACAGGAAGATTGGCTGCCCACGCTGGCCCGTCGTTGCGGGTGCCTTTCAGGTCATCATCGCGGGGTCACAGGTCATCAATAGACGAAAGGTCGCGGGACCGGTGCCGACCACTCCCACAGGCCCCATAAAATGGTTCGCATCGCGCTCGCGCTGCATGGTGTTTGCCATGAATACAATGAACATGTCACAATGCCTCGGCAAATCCCATTGCAGCGGCATAGAAATTCTCGTAAAACACTGTCTTTGGCAGCAAATGTATCTGCAGCTCCCAGCGGGGCTATTTGAAACACAACATGCGTGCTAAAACCACCCAGAAATATGAATGCCCATTAATAATAATGTCGTTGTGGAGCATAGTAACACGAGCTACGACACTTCGCGCACTGAGCTTTCGTAAACACGGCTAAAATTGAAGATCCAACGTGCGGACCAAGTTCTTCAGCCCTCTTCTCTTGATCTCCTGAGTGCCAGCAGAGAGAAAGAGAGAGACAGAGAGAGAGAGACTGATTCGTGCTTGGCTTGCGACAGCGGAGCCGGCCTCTGCCCCGAGCCGTCTCGGACGGCCTGACACAGAGCCCGTCTGGTGCGAAGAGGCGCCCACCTCCGGAGCGCGAGCCGGCCCGGAGCAGCCAACGCCGGTCACGAGTCGCCCGCCGCCGGGTCAGCGCGCCGCCTCTGCTGAGAGCGCGCCACCGCCTGCCCGGGCGACAGCTGATCAGTGTCAGGGGCAGCTTACTAGGTCGCGACACCAATACAAGGTCACAGTAGCGCACCACGCAGGACTCGTCCCACCACAGGGCCGAGTATACCCAGCGTCGTGTCATGACACCGCACCACACCGATGTGTCACACTGCAGGGTCTTGGGGGGAGTGTCACAGCGCGTGTCAGTGACTTATGGCATCGACACAGTCGCAGTCGTCGCAGCTACGTCGTGGCGTAGCCAAGGAGGAGTTCATGAGACCATGCCCCCTCTCCCCTCCCGCCTAATGGTGGCTGGGACCCCTGAGGTTAAAGGCCCCTGTACTAATGTCATCAGGCACCGGCAGAGCTTCTTAAACATAAAAAGAACCCCGAGGCATCAGAGTAGGGCCTGAGCTTAAAATAAATCTCCGGAGTAAAAAAAGCGGCTGTAGTGCCGAAAGGGACGCCTTGGCTGAATAAGTGCCCTATGACCCGATCGAGCTCCTTCCTGAGTGAAATCCTGGCCACGCCACTTCAGTCACGTGCGCGGCGAGCGCCCGGGTGTGAAGCCCGTGGGGCTAACCGAGGATCTGCGCGGACGATGGGTGGAGAAACATGGGATAGTTTGGATCTGGAGCTGGGTCTGGTTCTGGATCTGGATATTGAGAAACAGCACACGATCTGGGAGAGGGAGGGACAGGCCAACCACGGGATGGTCAGCGTCGAAACCAGGCCCCGCAGGATCGTCGCTGCCGTCGGAGGGGACGAGGGATGGGGGGGGGGGGGCATGAGCCTGACCTGACCCCGCCATTTACGACGCCTGTGGACCCGTGTCATCACACCACACCCACGTGATGCCCCCCTTCGAGATCGACGCACGGGACCGAATCAGGCCGGCGCATCAGATCGGTTCATTTCAACAGCACAGCGCCGTTAGAAGGCCTTCGGTACCGATGTAAAGTTAAGTTTGTTAAGTCTAGGTTTAGGCTTGCATACGTCCTCAGAGCAGAAAATATGACTCAAGCGGGCGTATGCAGAGGCGTAAAGATTGAGTCAAAGCACGCCACCGGTTCTGAAAGATAATGTGAACATGACACTGATATGATCATATATGATATAACATAACTGAATATGATAAGTATTCACTAGCGTTGCCTGAAGTGATTCCAGACTCGACCCAACATGAAGACCGCCTAGACTGACCCACACATCATCACTAAGACCTCTCATATGTTTTTGTCCAAACCACCACAATTTTGTGAACTAATGTGATCCAACCGCCAGATTCGCATTGCCAAAACCTTAACCTTAAAACCTTAACCCCGCGTGACCATCAGAAAGGAAAGACTAGTGACAACGTAACTATGTGCCTACCCCACATATTTGCAACCAACGCAGAGGCTCTGGTACAAAGAGCAGGCATGCGTCTCAGAGCCCTCTTATCCCAGCTCCTACCTGCACAGGCCATGGAGTGCGAGGTTACACGCGAGTGACTGGGCAAGTTAGAAACCTCGAGCCTGCACATCAGGCGCGCCAGGTGCAAGAGGTAGGCCAAGACTCGACATGATGTGCCAAGCGGTTTGGGAATGCCTTCGAAGAACGGTATAGATGCGGCGAGGGCTGACCCAGCCATCTGTCCAACGCTATCTTTTCGTGCACTTACCACCACACCACAGGAACATGTCAACGATACCACCACACGACAGAGACATGTCAATAATACCACCACACGACAGACGTGTCAACAATACCACCACACCACAGACATGCCAACGATGCCATCACACCACAGACATGTCAACGATGCCATCACACCACAGACATGTCAACGATGCCACCAAACCACAGACATGTCAACGATGCCACCACACGACACAGACATGCCAACGATACCACCACGCAGCAGACATGTCAACGATACTACCACACAGCAGACATGTCAACGATACCACCACACCATATACATGTCAACGATACCGCCATGCCACAGATATTCCGACGATATCACACCGCAGAGACATGTTACCGACACCACCACAGGACTGAGACATGTCAATAATACCACCACACGACAGACATGTCAACGATACCACCACACGAGACATGTCAACGGTACCTTCACACCGCAGACATGTCAACAATATCACCACACCACAGACATGTCCACGATGCCACTACACCACAGACATGTCAACGATACCACCACACCACATACATGTCAACGATATCACCACACAACATACATGTCAACGATACCACCACACCACATACATGTCAAAGATATCACCACACGACAGGGACATGCCGTCACACCACCAGGAGGCGTCATCATACGACAGGGTCGGTTTGGCGCGCGCCACGCCGCAGGCCCCGTCCGCCAGATGCCACCCGCAGCCCACCTGCTGGATCTGCTCACGGACCCGCTGCAGCCTGGCGCCCGTCTCCTCTTCGACTCCCGGCCGATCCGGTCGGTCTGCCGGCCCACCGGTCCGGCCCGGCCTGCCGACGGACCCGCAGACATCATCAGCCCGCCGCGGGCACGCCTGCCGGCCAGCGGCGAGGCCTCGCCGTCCGCCGGCGCCGTGCCGTGCCGGTACGTGACGGTCATCAGTGAGGGGACAACCGGTGCGATTGGGGGACCACAAATTACGTCGGACCGTGCTATGGGCACCCGCTGCCAACGCAAATGGATCCCTCGTCTTGCGGGAAATGCGTGACGGTGAGGAAGACAGTTCATGTGAAGTCTAATATAGAACAGTTGCGCTCCCCATCCCTGCACTTTGTTCCCGTCTTGGACCTACAGCTCTTACCTGGAGTAATTACGCATCATACATTTCGCGGCGCATCGTGTGTGCATTATCTGGCTGCGTCCACTTGTACCATGTCACTTTTGCCCAGTGATGCGCTGACACGCTTCACTGTATGCACGAAGGATTTCTCCAAGGAGATCGGGGTCACCCTAGAGTCAGGTCCATGATGCTCCTCCAGGCTCACCTGCTCCTCCTGAACACGATACGTCTCGCGGGCCGGCCGGCCGCTCTGGGTTCCGGCGGAGGCGGCGGCGCCACCTGGGGTGGCAGCGGCAGAGGCGCCACCCGCGGCGGCCCCTCGGTCCGTCCGGGGGACGGCTGTGTCGGCAGCGGGAGGCGGGGGCCGATCAGCGCGGCCGGCGGCGGCTCCGGCGGCGGGGGCGCCGCGCCGCCGCCAGACGGCCCCGGGCCCACCCCGGCGCCCAGCAGCCCGGCGCCCGCAGCCGCTGTTCTGCCCGGCTGCCTCCCACTGCCCTGGCATCTGAAGCAGAAGCTTCACGTTAAACGGGACAGGGGACCAGGCCCAGGTGAGCCGACTACACGTGGTAGGAGCCGCCAGTCAGCAGCAGCAGCCAGCACATCGTCACACGGTTTCCGTGTGGTCCCCGAGCCCACGCCGGCCCGGTGGCGGACACTGACCTGGCCAAGCCGGCGCGGTAGTAGGAGCGCCGCCAGCGGAGCTTGTCGGCCGTCTCGGCAGGTGTCTCGAGCTCGGGGGCGTAGCAGACCTTTAGGTGCGTGCCGAAGAAGTTGCGATCGTCCAGCTGACTCTTGGCCAGCCTGCCGGCGGCGGCGCATCCTCCACTCAGTCCACACGCACCACCTCGCAGCCACAAACACCAGCAGAAACCGGTCAGCACGCGACAGAGAGAGCACTGACGCGCCGCCCAAAGGTCCGGTTCGGCTGGGTGACTGCTCGGGCGCGCATCGCTTCCTGACGAATCGTCACATTGTGTGGTAGACTCGGGGTGACTGAGCGCGCGAAGGCAGCCCTTACTCTGGTGCGTACGAATCACGCTGGAAGTAGAGCGCCGTGCCGTAAAAGCACGTATCACGGAAGAGGCCTGCCCGCTATCTCGCTCGGGTGTGTGAATATCTGCTAGGCGTGCGTTGAACACCATTCAAATCAAATGCAGTGCATGCAATGCAATTTTGCATTATGGTGCTTAATTTCAGTGACCGCATGTAGATTTGGACAGGGAAGCGGACGAAGTCCACGAGCCCTCCGGCAACTGACATACATCGCCGTTGGACAATGAAGCTCCATTGCTGTCACACATTACCACTGGCACGGCAAAATCACGAACGTATGACACTGCTACATTCAACCCCCGTGAAGAACACCGCAGCCCCGCGCACACCTTCTGCACAATACAGCGCGCTCGAGAGCGCAGGATCTCGTCCGGCTACAGACCCAGAGCAGCATCACCGGTCAAACCCTCACCTGGCCGCGGCCATGCGCCGGTACTGCGCGTGGTACACCTGGGTGAACCGCTCCGTTTCGTAGTCATCGACAGCATTCAGTCGCTGCAGCGGACCAAAGCGGCGGCACAGCGCCTCCAGCTCGTCCCGCACGTCCACCGAGGTCACGTTCTGCAGCAGCAGGTGGCGCGACTCGTCGGCCACCGTGTACACCTGCAGCAGGCGGCCAACCGTCACAGGCGCAGCTGTAGCGCCAGACCGTCACATGTGCAGCCGTAGCGCCAGACCGTCACATGTGCATCTGTAGCGCCAGACCGTCACATGTGCAGCTGTGGCGCCAGACCGTCACATGTGCAGCTGTAGCGCCAGACCGTCAGATGTGCAGCCGTAGCGCCAGAGTCACATGTGCAGCTGTAGCGCCAGACCGTCACATGTGCAGCTGTGGCGCCAGACCGTCACATGTGCAGCTGTAGCGCCAGACCGTCAGATGTGCAGCCGTAGCGCCAGACCGTCACATGTGCAGCTGTAGCGCCAGACCGTCACACGTGCAGTGTAGCGCCAGACCGTCACATGGCAGCTGTGGCGCCAGACCGTCACATGTGCATCTGTAGCGCCAAGACCGTCACGTGTGCAGCTGTGGCGCCAGACCGTCACAGTGCAGCTGTAGCGCCAGACCGTCACATGTGCAGCTGTAGCGCCAGGCCGTCACATGTGCAGCTGTAGCGCCAGCCACATGTGCAGCCCACGTCACATGTGCAGCTGTAGCGCCGACCGCAAACCGTCACATGTGCAGCTGTAGCGCCAGACCGTGACGTGCTGGAGCTGCGGAAACCGGACCGCCACATGTGCGGACCAGCCGCTACAAGATTAACAGCCGCCTGCAGCAGCGAAAAACATCAAATGCGTACCTAGCATCGAGCGACCAATCGAAACGCCACACACCCGCAGCAGGCGCGCTACCCATCCCGTCTGCAGCGCGCTACTCGTCTCGTCTGCGGCAGACCAGCCGTCACGTCTGCAAGCAGACCAACCGTCACGTCTGCAGCAGACCAACCGTCACGTCTGCAGTGGACCGACTGTCACGTCTGCAGCGGAACTGACCGTCACGTCTGCAGCGGACTGACCGTCACGTCTGCAGCGGACTAACCGCCATGTCTGCAGCGGACTAAACACCGCGTCTGCAGCGGGATTAACCGTCACGGACGCACGCCTCCCGCAGCGGACTAACCGCCACGTCTGCAGCGGACTAACCGTCACGCCTGCAGCGGACTAACCGGCACGCCTGCAGCGGACTAATTGTCACGCCTGCAGCGGACTAACCGCCACGTCTGCAGCGGACTAACCGGCACGTCTGAGGCGGACTAACCGGCACGTCTGAGGCGGACTAACCGGCACGTCTGAGGCGGACTAACCGGCACGTCTGAGGCGGACTAACCGGCACGTCTGAGGCGGACTAACCGGCACGTCTGAGGCGGACTAACCGGCACGTCTGAGGCGGACTAATCGGCACGTCTGAGGCGGACTAATCGGCACGTCTGAGGCGGACTAATCGGCAAGTATCCAGGCGCGGCGGAGCCCGCATATAACCAGCCATCACATATGCAACTGCAGAGCTAGACAATGGCATCATATGCACTTTAGCACACACGCAACAGCTGATAAGCTGGGGAAGTGCAACAGGCCAACAGCCACATGCACAAAAAGCAGCATCTACAAATGGAATTGGAATGCGCTGTGCATTGCAGCCAACCGAGGCGAATTTCCCCGCCGCTCAGCATCTGTTCCCCTGTGAACCATAAATGACGCCAGACTAGCCTCTCGAGCCCCTCTTTCCAGTTCGAAGTTTGGTGCTCTTAACAAGCTCTTGTTCGGAGGGCGTTTCATGCACTGTTCGGCAAATCCCAGCAAATGCTGGCTACTTGAACTTGAAGCCTGCTTTAAACCCTTCTAAAAGCTTTCAGTTCTCGCTATGAATCTCATAGTTCCTTTCGTGTTCGGGGCATCTGCGCGGTACCATGCGTAAAGTCTGTCTGGCTAAAGCGACAGGTGCTGTTTCCCAGCTACGCGCAGAAAAGTTCGTTTCCTGGTGCTGACTTCCAGGACGTCACGTGATCATGCGAGGACAATCGTTCATGCCCGTGACATGCACAAGGACCAGTAGAAAATGTAGCATGACAGGCGGTCGCCTCGGCGACATAGCTACCAGTCCTTCACAGCCGCCTGCATCTGCTACATGGCTGCTATGGAATGTCTGTATTAGTACAAAAACCGGCAAGAACAAGAACTTGCACTGTCAGGTCCCGCAGAAAGGTCGGTAAGATAGGCAAGACACTTCTTAGAACGTGCACGAGCAGCTCCATCCCTGTGGCGACGACCACGGTCGGCAGGAAGGACACTTCGCGACAAGAGGCAGCCGGTCCGTGGTCCGTCCATTCGCGACGGTGACCACACGCGATGTCGAAGAACACTATTTAGCACGTGTTCTTCGAGACGACCATTCAAAACCATCACACTACGCGAGCCTTGTACAGGACACATCATCTAACGCCAACCCAGTTACAGACGCAGGGAGTTGCTCGGCAAGGCATCCGGAACCGTTGCCAACAAGTAATCACTCTAGTTCCGTGTCCTCGCCGTAGCTTGCCGCCGCTCTCCAGACCGAGCCGGTGCCAGACGCAGACCATGTTGTTGTGCGTCACGGCCACTAGGTATCGCTCGTCCTCGCTCACGCACACCCGGTTCACCAGGATGTCGAACTCGTGCAGCGGCACCTTGCGCGCGCGCATCCAGCTCGTCGTCGACGGGCCGCGGCCAGCGCAGCGTGTGGATCGGCTCATCGCCACCGCCGCCTGTCGTTGGCGCTCCAGTCGTACAGCCAGACGTCACCACAGTCGTCTCCGGCGGCCAGCAGGCGGCGGCCGGCGCCCAATCCCAGATAGGCCGCCTCCGTGTCGCTCCAGCGGAGGACACGGTGCGGCGCCGCCGCCAGGTCCACGCAACGCTCGGCCGGCCCCGGCACCGGCAGCAGGGCAGCCAGCGGCCAGACCAGGATCTGGCCGCGGCCGGAGCACTTCACAGCCAGTCGGGCGCCGCCCAGCACCGCCAGCGCGTCGACGCGCTCGCCCGAGCCAGCCGGCGGCGGCGGCAGGGTGTACTGCAGCCGCTGCGGCGGCTGGACGGCGCGCAACGCATCGGGCACCAGCCGCCAGCCGCATAGACCGTCCTCGCTGCCGGCCAGCAGCAGCTCCTGGTCGGCGGCCAGCGCCAGCGCCAGCGGCGGCGCGGCCGTCTCCAGTGTCAGCAGCCGCCGGGGCCGCACCTGATAGTGCGGCGGCGCCGGCACACCGACATCCCAGAGGGAAACGTGGCAGTCGCCCGTGGCGCACAGCAGCCAGCGCGAGCGGCGCGGGTGGAAGAGCAGCGCCGTGACCTCCCGGCAGCCGGCGCCGCCCGCCGCGAAGCTGGCGTACCACGTCAGGTTGTCCGGATGCAGCAGGTGCACGTGACGCGCGCCGCCAACGGCCAGCACGGAGAGCCGCCGCGAGCCGACCTCATCCAGTCGCAGCCGACTCCAGGCCAGCGCGCCCAACCGCTCGCGCAGGTCCGGGTGGGAGAACTTCTTGAGCAGCAGACCAGAGCCGGCGTCCAGCAGGCAGACAGAGCGGCCGCCGCACGTCGCCACCACCGCGCCGCCGCCCGGCTCGAACTTGCAGTCCCACAGCTCCGTGTGCACGTCGGCCGGGTCGTCGCGCGCCGAGTGGCAGCGCAGGAAGTGCGCCGGGCGAAACGCGGGTGGCGCGCAGCAGTCGTCCGCGGCCGGCGACTCGTCCTCCGGCGGGTCGTAGCGCAGCAGCGTCTGCCGCTCGGCCAGCGTCAGCTCGCCGCCGTCGGCCTCGCTCCTCGCAGTCCGTCCGCCCCGTCCTCCAGCGGAGCACGCCACGCCTCCGTCCGCGCTCTGGTGACCGCTTATGGAACTGGGGCTGGTTCCACTGGCCCGCCTGCCGCGCGACGGAGTGGCAGGAGACACGTCTTTACTGGCTCTCCCGCGACGCGACGGAGTGGCGCGAGACACGTCTTTACTGGCTCTCCCGCGACGCGACGGAGTGGCGGGAGACACGTCTTTACTGGCTCGCCTGCGACGCGACAGAGTGGCGGGAGACACGTCTTTACTGGCTCGCCTGCCACGAGACGGAGTGGCAGGAGACACGTCTTTGCTGGCCCGCCTGCGACGCGACAGAGTGGCGGGAGACACGTCTTTGCTGGCCCGCCTGCGACGAGACGGAGTGACAGGAGACGCGTCTCCGCTGGCTCGCCTGCGACGCGACGGAGTGGCAGGAGACACGTCTCCGCTGGCTCGCCTGCGACGCGGCGGAGTGGCAGGAGACACGTCTCCGCTGGCTCGCCTGCGACGCGACGGAGTGGCAGGAGACACGTCTTTGCTGGCTCGCCTGCGACGCGACGGAGTGGCAGGAGACACGTCTTTACTGGCCCGCCTCCTTCGGGTCGGAGTGGCCGGAGTCACGTCCCTGGCGGGCTTCTTCCCGCCTCCCAGCGCGGTGACGGAGGAGGCGTCTGCGCCGGTCCTGCTCCGACGTCGCGGTGAGCCGGGAGACGAGCAGCCGTCGGCTGGCGGCTGGCGCGCCTCGGCGGCCGGGGACTGCAGCGCGCGCTTCCTTTTCCAGCGCGGCATGGCACGGCTTCAGGACAGAGACAACCACCTATCAGAGGCAACAAACAAGGGCAGAGACCTTTCATGTCCATCCGAAATCGGTAATCGGTAAAAAGACATTCATGCATATTTCGGGGCGGGGAGGGGAGAGGGCTCAAAAGACGAGCTGATCTCACCAAGCTCTCAGCCTGAATGCTGATTCAGAGCGCATCGGAGAAAACTAATTCAGATACGAGACCCTGCTGTTGCACTGACATAATATGGTACCGCCTGAGCAGCACTTACCGCCGACTACACCGTCCATTGCCGAGACCTATTTGATCCACCTTTTACTACGCAGAAGACCTATCTAAGCCGGCGCGTGCACCTAGTGCCCCAATGGACGCGCTGTCACTGCATGCGGAGCCACCGGTCCATTGCATGTCCGTACCAACCATTGGGTGGCCACCTCCCCGGCGGGCGATGTCACACCCCGCCGTTCGTACCTCGGCCGCAATACAAACGTTCACTGCACGCTTCAACACGATATCATAGCGACATACCGCGGCATTACCTTAACAGCAGTAAGCTTCTTGCCCTGCCTATACTTGGCTCGTGTTTCGCAGAGTGGCTCTTGGTCGTGGTGGGGTAGCTTGACGATCTTCCCCGCCGCACGGACAGGCTCGCTGCTCTCTTCCATGCAGTACCTGGAGCAATCCAAGGAATCAGAGGTCCACATCATTGGGTGATTCACTGTAAACTTCAGTTGTGCTCAATGAAGCATATCCACACCTACAAACACAGTGACTCAAGTAAGCTTGAAGGAGTGGCAGGGGTGGTGTGGTGGTGTGCTCAGACTCACCATCACATGAAATGTATTATTTCCATTCTATGTAGAATTTGTTCAAATGAGCCTGACTCACTGCTTTGCAGATATAGCTTTAGATGAGAGGCTAATGTGTCAAAATTCAAGATTTCGGGTGGACATACTATCTTTTACAGGCAATGTTGGACTCTTAATTGTGCCATTTTCTTACCTTTTTTATTACCTCAGTCTCCAACTTATGCATGCATTTCCTACTGATTTAAGTCTCCTCCAGGGTTTCAGTGAAGCCATTTCTGTCTCTGCAGTGCTTTTAATGCAGCTGTTTTGGCACAATATCAGAAGGGCCCCTGAACATCTCAAGGTGAAGACATCAACCTTGGTTTTCCATTAGAATGATTCTAGCTGTAGAGGACTTTGCTCAAACCTTCTAAAAAGCTCCCACAAAGGCACAGCATAACAGCAATGTTCCTGCTTAGTCCTGGTTGCCAGATGGCTGTCACTGACAGGGCAGATATGTTTAATATTGGGATGTAAATCTGTGTCTGCCTGACTGAAAAATCTATGTCTGAAATATTTCTAGAGCATAATTCAAAAGGGCCAGTTCAGTGCCCACTGAATATTCCTAGAGCATAATTCAAAAGGGCCAGTTCAGTGCCCACTGATGAGGAAATTACACACAATGCCAACCACTTCTGTTTAATGCCCACTTGCTTATGATGGCATGCACATGTGACCTTCAGGCACAACAATATTGGTGCATTGCACAGGGTCTACTGGCAATCTTTTGGGTGGTCTTGAAAATTCTGCCTAGTTGCCCTCAGCCATAATTCACAAGTGACACAGATGCAGCCACTAGATAGTAGAAAACTCTTTCTGAAATGTTAAAAAGTTTGATTTATCTGTTGGTTTGGAGAGCTCTCTCATGATTTTCCACCTGACCCAAAATCTTGACTGCATGAAAGACTCACAACACCTTCACATTTTCAGACCCATTTATCAACAGCACCTAGCATATACAATGCCGAGCAAACTTAATGCCAGCCATTTTTTATATCCCTTTTAGAGCTCATTACCATGGGACCAGTGGAGGTGAATCTTCTGTGGGGATAGGGGTGACCAATGGTGGGGAGGAGGGTATATCATTTTTACCTTGTTGCTTTCTGTGCGCAGACACAGTTTGAATACTGCCTGTTGTTGGGAAGGTGGCTGCCCCTTGCCCCTCCCTCACAAGCAACAACTGTTTGGTACAGGTGGGGGGCATCAATTTGAGACATTAGGTGCAGGTAGGCATTGCTGCTTTAGATCTAATAGGAAATACCAGCTAGTGTGTAATAATATACATATACAATTGTATATTTTCATTAAAAAAGCACTTGAAGCCTGCACAGCATGGATATTAAAAGAGACATAGAATAGATAACAATAATGCTTTTGTAGGCATATCTGTAGCCTATAGATACCTCCAACTACCATGCAGGCTACAACAGTACCTACAGGCCAAACTACAACAAACACATGTTATACTGAACATGTTCAGGACATCTTCCATGAACAATTTCAACATACATAGCCATACATCTGAGCACAAAGAAATTGGCAAAAGTTTGTCATAAATTTTAGTACAAAGGACCAATGTTTCAAGGAATCATTTTGGGTCTGTTCTGGCCACTCCTCCAAAAAGAGAAGCTTAGCATGGAGAATGATCCAGGAGTGATGGATCTGCATTGAATCTGCTGCCAACAGAATAACTTTGGGGAAGGGAAAAGCTGTCTGAACACAATTTAAACCAATAGTTTTTGCACACTAATAACAAATAGCTAAGATGTTGTGATCATTGAAAAACATATTCAACAATGTAAATATGTGCAATAATAATTCTGAAACTATATGGTTGACTGAGGATATAACCTATTAGCACCAAGTCACACAGCAGACATTTGTTATGTGCCAAGAAAAAGACCAAAAAAGAATATGAATAAGCTGTCCCACCAATTTCTACAACTGCTCCAAACTCTCCTGAAAAACTATCTTTCTTTTCAGAGATTAGAGGGTGGCAAGCAACAACCTCCAATCCAATGGCAAGCTCTGCAAAGGTTAGAGGAGGTTAAAGGAGCAACAGGAATAGATCCTATGTTACAAATATAATCTTAGGCACAATGCTCCATAATGTTTTTTTCTTCTTTTAATTCCCCAAAAATTTCCCTGGCCTCAGTTTAGAGGACTTCAGCAATAGGGCAACTGGCACACAAATGCATTGTTACCTGTTCTACCTTGTGTACACCTGTGCCTTCAACACAAAGAATGATATCATGGTAGCCTCTGATTGTGCCTACATATGGACACCAGCACTGAAACAAATGTTAATATGCATTCACAATGCCACGCTTCTTTTGATGCACATTCCATGGGTGCATCCTTACTTCTTATCAGGCATAGCTCTGTCATACACAAGAGAGGGTGGTGGCCAAGAAATGAATCTGTGCTGTGGAAATACATTGATAATGTCCAGTTTAACATGCACAGTAATGGGAAATGTTATGCAGGTGTCAGGGTATTCTCCAAAGTAGACATCACCTACGTTTCACTTCGCTCGTGGTGCATGCTAAAGCGAAATTAAATTTACGTGGTTGCAGAGGCAAACTCATGCGAGCAGCACACATCAAAACGAAATGCACAAATACCCACCCAATTCCAATAGCACCTCCTCCGTCGCATCCGCCACGACGCGTCTCCCGCCAGATCCAACATCCCAGAAGTTCGTACGCGAGCACTTACGAGAGAGACTAAACGACTGACAAAACCTGCTGGCAACCTTATTCTCCGAGCCTATGTAGCTGATCAACACGAAATCTTTACCATGCGATAGAACTTGGTTCGTAATCTACTCTAGCCAGAAGATAGTGACCGGGTCAGGTGACTAGTAACCAAAATGCAAAAAATCTAAAAAATCAGTTTGCAGACAACCAGTGCTCCGAGCCCTCGGCGCAGATTACCACAAAACCTTCTCTGGTCCATGCGCCACAGCCGATATCCGATCATTTCCAGAACATGGTGACCTTAGGCCAAGTCAAAGGTCACCAAGAGACAAAAAAAACCGAATGAGCTGCAGACAGCCCCATGCTCAGGGCCTAACCCCTTTAGATGTTGAGTTGAGGGCTTTCTGCCTGCTAAGCGCCCCGCTTTCTCGCGGGAAGTCCCCCCCCCCCCGCTTCTTTTATTCTCGCGACTATCTTGACACCAGCATTTTAGCTACTCGGGACTCTTTTGCCAGCTTATAAGCCCCTCCTTCTGCCCAAAAATCATTTTTGCTCTCTGAAAATCAATCAGTTAACCCCTCAAGCATACTCGCACTGAGTGCTCAACCATGCGGAAGCCTGTTTTCCAGCACCAATGTAATTTCTTCGACCGACCGGGCTTCACTCTTTGATCCAGCACATGTATCCCTTCACCAATCTGATGCTCAACGTTTTTCCATTTCTCCTGTCATCAGCCCCGCCTCTCGCTCACCGCATTGAGGCTAATTCGCGCCACTTGGAATGCGTCGCGGGATCGTCAGGTCACGACTGACCGCGCCTCCTCGGCTGACTCAGCGGCCATACGGTCCCCGCCGAGGCAATGATCTACTGGCGTCTTCGCTTTCCTGTCGAACGTGAGAAAGAGCGGCGTGTCTCTTGTCGACTTCTGCGTTGCCGTTCGATAGGCGAGGATAATTTCAGGCAGATACTTATCCCAGTCTAATTCCTAGCGGCAAATGTCCGTAGCATTCTGGCGAGGGCGCTGTTGAAATGTTTCATTTAACCGTTTATGGAGGGCGTAGAAGGAAAGCTGTCTGATACTGAGCTCTATGCAAAAACTGTTCATCACTGTATTCCTGAAAGTGGTACGGTTATCACTCAACCATACTTCAGTAGCTCCGTACACAACGATATCTCTCAACAACACTTCAGAAGCATCGTAAGTGTCCAGTGGTCGGTGATGACATACACCTTCCTCCCCAGCGGATAACTTCGAAGATGGTTACATGTATGGAGTAAATCTAGTATCTCCATCCCTGGGGATGAATATGCTCTCTATTGTCATCAAACTTATACGGCCTTGCTGCCTCCAAATAGGTTGTTCTTAACGGTGCGCCTTTCTCTGCGGTAAGCATAGCTGCTTTCTTCATGTGGGCTGCGGTGAAACTTGGCAGACCCCAGAAGTGGAGTCATTCTTCCGCCAGCTGATTAATTTGTATGTGTTTTTTTCCCGGAGATCTTGTTCTTGACCCTTTTCTCGAGCATCTGGAGTACCGTCACTGTTATAGAATTCAAAACATCATCTCGCCTTGTCTCAGGATTCGAGCCTTCTTCGCCATGCACTGCCCCAACCGTCTCATCAAACGTCCCACATCCCTTCTGTCAAGCCGCCCGACGTAAATATGGCTTTCGTCCTTTGAAACAAACGTTTAAGGTTTTTAGGTCGTCTAGAACTCACGGCTTTCACTTTTTCAGTCGCTTCATCCTTCCGCGTGTTCTTGATCTGCTGCAAATTGATGCCATGGGCTCGACACGGTTCGGCAGGCTGCATGCGCCAGCCACGAGTGGGCCGAGAGGCCCCCTGGAGGGGGCCCCGACCGCACACCCAGCGCATACCCCGCAGAGGGGCACTGCTCGAGCTAAGTTCGCCGGTTGGCCGCCCAGGCACATGCAGTTCTGCCCCACCGTTATTCAGTCTCCTTTATCCCCGAAATGCGTTGAAATGACCAATTCTAGCTGAATGGGCTCTAATCCAAATAACCAGCGAACCAACCATGTAAGGCTTTCTTCGTCGCTAACCGCTAAGAACTCTTTGCCTATGTGACGCGCATGCCTTCCTCCGCGGCTACCCGCGAGGGGTTATTGAGTAAAGCACATGTGATGCATTTAGCCCGTCATGACAATAACATTCAATTGCACTCGCGGGAAATTTCGAGTTGCCTCCAAGCTATACACTTTATATGTAACTATGCGATATTGAGATATTGACGTAGAAACAAGGATCTGACTACGGTGCGTCATGTCTTACGTCGTTTGGCTTCGACATGGCCCTGGAGTGTGCGTACTAGCACATTAAACGGCAGCATGTGGCCCGCGGCGGATAAATACGCCGCGCGCCACGAGAGCGCCTTATGCGGCCCGCCGGAGTGATCACATATATGTTACGAAGCATTCTACCGAGAGACAAAATCGGTCAAACCCGTGCTTAGACTACACATAGTGCAAGCTCAGCGCAGAAACCAAATTTGGTGATGAAGGTGCTTACAGATCTTATTTCTGGACACAAATTTGCAAATTTCCCAGAAAAACTTACAGTGTTTTTCAGCCAAATGTGCTTGACAAATCTCGGGACCATAGCCGTTGCGTTATACAACCGGAAAGCTGGTTTCCTAGACCTAGCCTATTTTGACCACCAATCAGTGTTCGGTCATACTTTACAGTCATACCTGCTGTTTGGCCTATAGCGAGGAAGGGTGCAATTTTCTCACGGGCGCAATTATCCCATCCCCCGCCATCTAACTTCGTTAACCAAAGATCTGCTATTCGATTGCCTACAGGTGTGCGAGGTTTGTCGTGGTTACGCTGCTACGCTCATGCATTATTCTACAAGATCTTTTGGGGGTGAATTTGATCCCACACTCGAGCGGACGTTATCCCTTGCCCTGAAAGGGGGTCGATGCGACCCAGCCCTAATAATTTTTGTTGTTGAAAATAGCTGCCTGGCATGCTGCACAATCTCGTCCATCTTTTGAATAGCCACTGGTGCGTTCTAATTTGACGATGTGTATCAGGTAGCTATTGCACGTGTTTTCACAAAAAAAAAACGTTACTACGTTTTCTGGTTTCGGAACAGCGGTGTTTTTTTAGGTACACCACACAGCAATCTATGGCCGACGCAGGCGGTGGGCGGCGACCGACGATGCTGCGGAACTCGGGCGTCGCGCCGACATTGTTGTATTCACCGAGCCACATGTAATAAATATATGCTCAAAACACATACAAAGACACACCATTGTACTCAGAATCAAACAAGAAACATTTCAAATTTTGCACCACGAATCATGATCTCGTATGTATGATGTAAGGCTGAAAAAGTTTGAAATAGTATCAATAGCGAGGCTCGTTGAGACAAATCTACCGGTGCTTTCTGTTCAGCTCTATCGTTATTAGTTTGGAATAATCAGGGGGCTGGGGCGCACCAACCCCCTATCGTTCATCATTACGAAAAACGGCGAATCATGGTGAACCGTAGCGAGAGTTACGAAACAAAGTACGTGACGGGTGATGCTCGGACTATGAATCGCGCAGGCTAGACACCTCAGAGACGGGGCAAGGTGCAATCAGGCGAGTTGCGAGTTCAGTGTACATTCAGTGGGCATTTCCGATGACGGCCGGAAGGCAACCATGGGAAAGTTTTGAGAGCAGAAGAGTGAGTGACACGAAAGCAGCACGTGCTACGCTGTTGTTCACCACTGCTGGTTCATTTGCTGATGCTTGCGTTGAATAAGAAATGCAGTTTCTGTGCTGCTATCAGGTGCCTATATATATATATATATATATATATATATATATATATATATATATATATATGTATATATATATATATAAACATATATGCATATATATACATATATATATATATATGTATATATATACATATATATACATATATATTTATATATGCGTATATACCAGGTGCCTATAGCTATAGGTGGTAGGATTTAATGTTAACTGCGTTGGAAGCTGCTTTCCAGTTATTTTCAGGACACCACAACTGTGTTTATGGTCCTTTTAGAGTCCCAGAACCTGCATTGTTACAACAGTGAGTGTCATGAGAATGCCTAACTGCTTTGTGCTATGTGACATTTTGCTAACCTGATGACTTGGTACACACGTGTACTTCCTTAGGTGCGAATACATAAGTGTGATGCTATAACACTATAGTCCTTAAGCATATTATATATCCATATACACACACACACATATATATATATATATATATATATATATATATATATATATATATATCGTCATGCTCACTAGTAGACCTGAGTTTGTTCACCATTCTGCTCACCAGAAATCCGACTGAACAGAGCGTGCCTTTCTAAGCCTTCGTCGTAACAGAGGATCTCCGTGGACTCACTGACGTTACGGCGAAAGTTCCGGGCGTGCACGAGACGTGGGGGGAGGAGAACCGGTTCCGCGGCCCAGCTCTCACCGCTGCCTTGTGCTCCAACGGGCGGCATCCACGCCACAAGCCGTCCCTTCTCCAGCGCAAGCCAGCACAAGGCTAAAGGAGACTGGGAGCACCGCTCCTGTTAGCTGCACGTGTTCGCCGACGCCGTTAAGCACAGCGTGTTGAACTGTACCCGACACGGAATACAAGCGTGGCTAAGGCCGGCCAGCCGCGCGAGTTATTCTTTGACTTTTCGAGGACACCTTGCACTTACTGATATATTCGGATCATGTGGACGCGCATACCGCCAGAATAATTTCCTGAGCGTGCCCACACCCTGCTCGGCGTTTTCCTTCCGCTCGGTCCAAGTTGCCGGGGTGCCGGCGGCGGTCACGTGCGCGTAAATGCGTCGTTGGAGCGGCTCGCAGCCGGACCCGCGTGCTGCTATGCAGTGGAGTGCCGGTCGCTGCGGTGAGTTGCGTAACGAAGGGCGACGGAACGCTGCTGCACGGATGCGTCGGGACTAGCAGCGGCGTGATGCCGGGAGCCGTCAGGCAGTAATGGACGATGATCATACGAGATCGACGGACAGAAACGACATTGTGCAGTTATGATCCAGTCCGGGCGCACCTTTGATCGGACTCCACATTGAAGGTCAATATATATATATATATATATATATATGTGTGTGTGTGTGTGTGTGTGTGTGTGTGTGTGTGTGTGTGTGTGTGTGTGTGTGTGTGTGGTGGTGGTGTGTGTGTGTGTGTGTGTGTGTGTGTGTGTGTGTTGTGTGTGGTGTGTGTGTGTGTGTGTGTGTGTGTGTGGTGTGTGTGTGTGTGTGTGTGTGTGTGTGTGTGTGTGTGTGTGTGTGTGTGTGTGTGTGGTGTGTGTGTGTACGTGTGTGTGTGTGTGTTGTGTGTGTGTGTGTGTGTGTGTGTGTGTACGTGTGTGTGTGTGTGTGTGTGTGTGTGTGTGCGCGCGCGCGCTCGCCCGACACATGCCTATAATGGGCAAACACATTGGTACCGAGCCCTATCCGTTTGGCTCCTCGAAACGACCGAGCCGTGCATGTTACGCAGATGCTGCAGAAGAAGCCGTCACAGCCACCGGGACTCCGGGCGGGGGACACCACTGTCATATCCTTGTACCGCTGGTTTACAGCATTTACAATAACGTCTTGCGTTGGCACGTGAAAGATTGAGACTGTCCAGCATTCGGAAAGCGCTCAGGGACTTTTTTGGGCTCGAACCACAATATTGTTGAAGTGCCGAAAGTGTAGCATAATTAGTTGCTGTTACGTAGTGCTTTTCCAGCATCATACATTAGGTACTAGCAGAAAGCAGCTGAGTGGTTTTGAATCACGTCAAAATCCTAAAGCTCAGCTCGTGTTGCACTGAACAGCAGAGGTGCAATTATCCGTGGGAGCAGAACCTTTAATAGCCTTCGTAATATCAATCGGCATATGATCCTAGAAGAGCACATTGATCACCTGGTAAGATGCTGCTCTGTAGCGTTTTTCTCTACATGCACACGGGTTTTAATGAGAAACCGGGATATGTCTATTCGGCTGCACGTTCAAGTCTCGCGGTTGGCTGCTCGCGGGTCGACTAGTCGCGGCCACACTGTGACCGCCTCACATCGGCCATCACCTCATCAGACCCTCGCACGCATACCGTTCTCTTATTGCACTACCGGGACACCCGAAGCAGTGCCGAAAACACTCGCCAGGAGCGTATTTCGCGACAGGCTCTCCACTGTGCACGGCCCGATCAACAACCGCTCCCTCACCAGCCGTCCGGCCGCTGAGCGCGCTCATCGTACCGGGACCAGCGGCCAAGGCCAGGCGACCCCCAACGACAGGCGACACGCAGTGCCCGGGGCCACCAGGCCTGTCAGGTCGGCCAGAAGCGCACATCCGTCTCGTCTCCCACGCAAAAGCTCGCACCAAAGAGGGAACACTCTGCGCACGCCGCGGCAGTGTTGTGCCTTGCTCTGCCGATTGAAGTACTGAAGTGTGTGAGGCCGTCGCCAGTTAAGTGCTCCAGGCAGAGCTCAGACGACGCCGGTAAGCAGCTGCCGACTCGAGGCCGATCGGGTTAAAAACCCCCCGCAATCAGGCGACGGCTGGACCGCGAATTGTACGCGCGTGACGACCCAGCTCTCTGTGGTACTTCCACGTTCAACTCATCTGGTGATTCCATTGTGAATCACATTGGTGAAGGCGGATGACAGCCATTTTTATCGATCGATATGTTTGATGCGCGCAGTAGACGAATGCCTGAACGAACAGAATGGAGAAGAACAGCATTTACCACAGCAGTCAATAGAACACCCAAACATCGGCTTAGCTGGCTGGTTTCAATGAATATAGGTGCGACCAACCTTGAATTTACAGTCGCGCATAAACACGACGCGAGACGCGTTCGCTACGTCCGTCCTTGGATGACGGCACAGCCCGTGCGCGGCTGAAGACTCGCTGTTCATCCCCGGGAAGGACACCAGAGCTCGAACCACTTCTGGTCCGACAACACTTTGAAATAAGCAATAATTAAAATAAAATAAGAAAAATAAATATGTACAATGAATGCGGTAATACATAAACGACTGGCCGTCTATTTGTACGTGCTTGCAGCTACGGGCTGCAGGGATGTGGCCCCGTTCCGGCCGCTGGTGACGACCCGAACATCATGCTACTCACCTCCGACGTACTGGACGCTAGGAGGAGGAGGGACCCCAGCTGGTAAGTCATGTGTTCGCATCCTTCGCCATGCTGGTATCCGAGGGCCTTCTGTCCAACCCCCCCAGCTTACGCGCTTTACATGTGATACGTTTCACACAATACTCTGTTCCCACACTACGGTGAATACTTATGCACCATCATTTACTGTACTTTCCCAACCGCGAACTCAGTAATCATATCTAAGATGCCTAACGATCTTAATACCGCCATATCCAAATGAGAGCTCCACATTGATATGGCTGTGGTAAGCACGAATACTTTCAGCTGCACAGATGGATTCGTCCGGAGCCCGGCTGTGCCGCATCCCAAAAACTACAACTACTATGGAGCATCGCTCAATAACGCAGGTCGACCGGAGCCCAGCTGTGCCGCATCACAACACTCAGCTACTATGGAGCATCACTCAATGTACGTGCCACCGCGGAGCCCGGCTGTGCCGCATCACAACACTACAACTGCTATGGAGCATTACTTAATACCGTGTACTGGAGCCCGGCTGTGCCGCATCACCAAACTACAACTACTATGGAGCATCACTCAATGCACGAGTCGCCCGGAGCCCGGCTGTGTCGCATCATGACACTACAGCTGCTATGGAGCATCGCTCAATACACGTGCGACATGGCTGCTATAGTTAACAGCGTCCACGGCGCGCAATCCCCGCGAACCCAGCTGGCGCCACGGACCCACACTGGCGCACCTCGCCTCACCGGTCGCCGCAGTCGCGTCGCGGCGGTGCTAGGAACAGGTGCTGCGTGCGGGTTCCCGCTCCAAAATCCGTACCGGTCGCCGGCAGCGCGCGGAGCGGTGCGCCGACAGGAAACGGCCGACGCGGTGCGGCTGCGGCGGACGGCAAAGGGCCCGGGCGCGGCAGGTAAGCAAGCAGCAGAGGGTGGTGTGCGGCGGAACTCGACGAAAGACTAACACAAGCGAGCGAAAGGCCACCCTCGCAGCTTGGCACGCTGAGACGCGTTCAGAACATCTCAGGGGCATGGCACGGTTGTCTATAAATCGAATGCGGCTTTGTTGCCCTGGATGGGGCACCGTTGCGTACTTTTAAATCCCAATAATTTGTGTCTGACCGACGATGATCCTCACATTTCACTAAAATATCGAACAACGACCAACAAACAACAGGTCGTCTTGTATTATCGGAAGAAAAAGAGAGAGAGAGAGACAGAGAGAGAGAGAGAGAGAGAGGAGAGAGGAGAGAGAGAGACAAGGACAGAGGAAGGGAGAGAGAGAGAGAGAGAGATAGAGAGAGAGAGAGAGAGAGAGAGAGAGAGAGAGAGAGAGAGAGAGAGAGATAGAGAGAGAAGAGAGAGAGGAGAAGAGAGAGAGAGAGAGAGAGGAGAGAGAGAGAGAGAGAGAGAGAGAGAGAGAGAGAGAGAGAGAGAGAGAGAGAGGAGAGAAAGAGGAGAGAGAGAGAGAGAGAGAGAGGAGAGAGAGAGAGAGGAGAGAGGAAGAAGAGAGAGAGAGAGAAGGAGAGAGAGAGAGAGAGAGAGAGAGAGAGAGAGAGAGAGAGAGAGAGAGAGAGAGAGAGAGAGAGAGAGAGAGAGAGAGAGAGAGAGAGAGAGAGAGAGAGAGAGAGAGAGAGAGAGAGAGAGAGAGAGAGGAGAGAGAGAGAGAGAGAGAGAGAGGGGGGGGGGGGAAGAGGAGAACCCTAATTGAAAAGTACGAAAGACCAAGGAAGCGACGCTCGTGGCACTGGCTCAATCCTGCCAACAAGCTCAGTGACCAGTGAGGTAGCAGCCCGGTAATGACATCCTATGCTAAAAAGGCCAAAATACGGAAGACAAATGACTGGAACTTCTATGGCAAACGGCACTCTCGGTGGCCTTATTCATTGGTGGTCTGATCCCACGTGGTCTAATACAAACATCAACGTGTCCTTCTCTGGACCAACTGACGCTTGACGACGGCCAGGGGAAAACCAACAGAAACGCTGCTGATGAGAGCAACAATCCGAACCATGATTAAACCTGTGCCATACGAAAGAGCAAAGAGGCGACGCGCGTGACGCAGACTGCAAATCCCGTTAGCAAACCTAATGAGACAGCAGCTTCGTAAGACATCCTAGGCCAAACAAGCCCAAAATTGTATAAGGTGTATTGATGCTAGTTTTGGTGCGATTTAGTCAATAACTGTTCCCATTATGACAGGCCAAATATCAAATTGTCCAGAAACGCGCACTTTTTCTGGCTTCACAGCCAGCCCCAGCAATCTAAACAGGCGAATTTCTCGTTCAAATCTGAGTACATTAGTGTATATCTCATGTCTTTTGATTATTTATCAATCTATGATTTATAGCTGTGCGAATGTAACAATGTCGGGCCGTTGCACGCCTTCTTCGGTATCATCGGCTGCCGCCCTTCGCTCGCGCCGCCTTAGATCATCGTGCAGTGCTCTTCAAAAACTGCCGCTGCTCCGAAACCAGAAAAGCTAGGAACACGTTTTGGCATCAAAACACGTGCAAGTGATGCTCCATAGACAACTGAAAAATTGGGCGCGATCGCCAAACATGCTAAAGAGGTATTATCAAAACAGCTTAGGGGGCTGCATCAGCCCCCCGCCCCACACCAGGCCGAGGATGAACGCATTGACTCCAGGAGAAATAAATGAAAAGTCTACCGGAGGTCCTTTCTCCGTTTTATCAGGAAAAACAAGTCGCAGAGAAAAGTTCAGCGGAAGTTACAGGAAGAGCCTTAAACCCAGCAACGAGCCGCACGCATGAATATGTCGTGTGACGGTAAAACGCGAAGGTGTTTCAATAAGTAATACATGCAAGCATTCCAATAACCAAACCAATAACCCTAAACAGCTGAGTGCGTCGTAAAGCCCCAATGACAACATGTCAAGATACCTGGGGCTAAATATGAGCGCTCCATAGCCCATGCCAAATGAAATGGTTATGTAAAAAGATGCAAATGTATTTTATTCGACTGGCCGGAGGCTAGGGGAGCAAGAGTACTGCACAGAAACACAGAAAATAGGAAACTTGCCGGCCTGCAATAGTATAAGGAGAAATATCCTGGGAATTTGACGGTTTTCAGTACGTGTTAGCAGTGAGGAGACCACTCAGAGTTACAAAGCATGCAAGAGGGCCTTGAAAGAGGATTTACGCAGGATAGCGTGTATTGCTTATCCATGTCGCAGATCTCGTTAGGAAGCTTTGCCACGACTTAGCTCAAGTTTCATCAGATCTCCAGGTGTGGCCCATCGTCACGTGGGTAGAATCCCTGAAATTCTCCACATACTGTACAGATAAGGGGTATAAAGTACAATTATGGATCGAAACATAAGAAAACTACAGTACTCCCTGAAGATAAATGGTACCGAAGATTGATAACAGGCATGCAGGCAGTCCCTCGCGGTGTGCCTGATGTAGGTAATGCAGCAACACAGCTGCTTTGTCCGTGCAACGATTACAGGTAGGAAATCGATTGACTGCAAGTCAGTTACAGGTAGATAATCTAAAATTCTGATTTTGGTTTGAGGTCGTTGAGGACTGGGGGGGGGGAGGGTGGAGGGGTTAGTAGAGTGCCAAGACACAAACTTGAAGGTGGCACATGTCATAGCTGAGAAACAGCGGAACGTTCCTCTTTATGGAAAATTTGCGCAATATATCGCGCTTGGTTTGCCGCGCCGGTCCAAAAACCGAAGCATGTAAGCCGAAGACCATCTGACCCTGGTGCTTCGTAACAAGGGCTCCGGACCCGGCCTGAGTAAAGCATTTTTGGTGTCAAATAGCGAAATCGGAACCTGAAGTATTACCACCTCGCAGGCTTTCGGACGAAAATTGTTCGCGGAGAGAGACCGAGGGTGATAGCGAGAGCGAGGACTCACAAAGTCTCATATGCTCGTCGCTCAGCGGACTGTGCGTTATGGATCCCGGATAAACATTGGTAATCGACGAACGGCATACCTGATGGTGCTCTTCTGACCTTGGATGGCTGACGGTTCAAGGCAAAGGCGGCGAAACAACTGCGTCGAAAACTTGCACGTCATGGTGAAGAGGCCTGAAGTTATTATCCTCTGGTTATGTGGTGCAATTCACGTGGCCTTGACAATTCCTGTCCGTACTCAGATTGCGCTGGACATGCAGGAATCGGGGAAATCCCCATAAGGCATCCACGGTTGAACAGAGTTCATCGACGACTGCGACCGAACAGACGTCGCGAGCTTGCGGGGTGATGGCACAGCGGCCGCGTTAAACCCTGACCGTCGTCCGTGGCCCACCCGCGCGCGCTCCACTGCTGGCCTCCAGCAGACATGGCGTGGCTCAGCAGCCAGGCCGCGGGCGGCTTTGGGCTTCCCAGGCCCATCTGGGGCCTTAATCAGATGGTCGGTATCCCGGTCCACGCCTCTACAAGAGCTTACACATTCAGCTACTGCGTGCCAAACCTGTCAGTCCCAGCAGACAACATCGCGAAGGCGGGAAAAGGAAGGGAAGTGCTCTTCACTTCTTCGGATAGGTGTACAACAATGAGTAAGACTTGCAGGCGTATTGTCTAAGACATGTTCACAACGTCGCTAGAGCGATGCTGTTTCCACACATTGGTATGATGCATATGCACGCTTTGGCCATCGCCAGACAGCTATCTTAAGATCACACGACGGCAGAAACAAAAAAATATGAGCCATAATCGATATGCCATGGCGACCACAGACATTTTACTGTCTGTTGGTGACTGAGAGTCGTAACCTGGTCTTAGCCGGGGTCTCCACGATGCTCACCACCAGTAAGCACCTGGGAAATGACCTCTGAACGACCTCTGAGGAAAAACGTTGTCGACTCATCAACGCCCACATGAACTACTTGCCAATTCTCAAGTTATTTTTGCTGCTGTGCTGTCCTTGAGCTTGTTTGTGGTGTTGAGCCTTTTTCTCATGAGCTTACGTACCTTGCGGCGGATGTTATTATAGCCTGACATGAAATAGTTGCGGCGAGAACGAGAGCGGGACTTGCTTCACCCGTTCTTTCCCACCGTAAGTGTCGTAAACATGTAACGTCCAAGTCTTCCGCCACTGACATGTGACGCGCCTCCATTCAGAGCCTCGACCACGACCCGTGTCACGTGACTGTCAGCATGCGCCACTTCCATTCAATATCAACGAGACGCGAAGCCGCCGGCCGGGAGAGAACAATGGTCTTCCATGGTGGCAGCGCGAGCAGTGTGAGCGCTCGCTCACGCCGCTGGAGCACGGCAGCCAGCGGTCACCTGGCACGGCCGCAGCCAAGGCGACCCGGTCATGGCTAAGGGATGGGGTGGGAGCGATCCCGGGGATCCGACGGGGCAGCCTGCCGGTGTTGTGGCGAGCAGAGTCAGCCGCGTAATGAGCCTTTGTAGCAACGCGTTCGGGACGGCGCTGAGTGTGTGGCCTAGTAGCTCGGGAGTATTGTGTTCAGACGCTGAGTGTGTGGCCTAGTAGCTCCGGAGTATTGTGTTCAGACGCAAGCGGGAAAACTCCATTCTCAGATAACAATCGGACGTTATCTGAAAAGGCCAGTGGATAGATCGTAAGCATCTCGAGTGAAATACAGGCGTACATTAGCCTTTCCAGGTGCGGAAGGAGAGGCTGAGAAAGGTTAATGGGCTGTTGTTGGGATCCCAGGGTGTGTCACTAGTATAATGCAGTCTCCCCTCCCTCCTCTCTCTCTCTCTCATCTCTCTCTCTCTCTCTCTCTCTCTCTCTCTCTCTCTCTCTCTCTCTCTCCCTCTCTCTCTCTCTCTCTCTCTCTCTCTCTCTCTCTCTCTCTCTCTCTCTCTCTCTCTCTCTCTCTCTCTCTCTCTCTCTCTCTCCTCACCGTCTCATTATGTTTAGCTACACGCCAAGAAGCGCGACATGCCCAGGCAACAAACAGCATCAGCA